GCCACCCGCGACATCCGTTCTGTCCTGCGTGCATCAGATCAGGAAATCTTCATCTTGATCGAACTTCCCCTGACGTCTCATAGTTCTGATTCTCACTGTCGGCCGATCTTTTTCACTTGAACACCCTCGTGCACCGGTTCCTCTCGCTCGTCGATATTCGTTAACCGCCCGCCACCGACTCGATTCGTAATCTTCCTTGTTATTACAATTAATATCGAGGATTTGGTTTTGTTTTCTTTTTTTTCAGTCTTTTAAGCAGGTTTTAGATAATCGATATCTATTTTCATTTCGTTCGACGTTCTTTTTGTGGAATACTTACCTGTTAATTGGAGAAGACGAGGTAATTCGTCGTTGGTTTGTATGTACTTAGAATACAGTAGTTTGTTGTGCATATATTAAGTATAAGATACATTGTACATTTGTGAATATGGGAATGAAGTAATTGGTTACAATTTTTACTCATTCTTTGGTGTGAATTAGGGAGATTCAATTTTAATTTGATAGGTGAACTTTGTTAGATTCTTTGGAGAAATTAGACGTTCTGATTCGGTTCAATTTTACTGAAAATTTGGTAGGTCTATTTGCAAGATCATCATCACTGATATTTCTCATCCTATTTTACAAGAGAAATGTCTAGTAGAACCAAATAGTGCATCTTCCTCAACACTTTCGCTCTCACTGTATTCATATCGCAACCTTTTCATTTTTAGTAACGTTTTCGATGTAGACTTTTATGAAAAATTCGAAATAAACGCGAACTAAATGCACTTAATTCAGAAGCAAAAATATTTTATCTATATTCTGCACTTTGTATCCAAAGTTTCATGTAACTACATTATTTTCATGGGTGTTAACCAAATTTTGGTAAATGAACACCAACTTTTTCCACAAATTGCCCACGTGTCACCTAATATCCGCAAAACGCGAATAAATATCTTCTCCAGCTGTGAAACGATTTGGGAACGAAAGGGTTAAGTAAATCAGCCGTTAAAGTGAAGTTAGCTCGAAGATATCCGGGATATCCCTTTTCTCTCGTCGTTGAACCGGCGCACGACGAGATTTCGTCGGTGTGCCAGGTTTGTTGGCCGACGAGCCGTGTGATTCGCCGTCTAAAAACGGTTCCAGTGACTTTGTAATGGAATTTCCCAGGATCAGACGGGTAAATTCGAGTTTAGCCGAGTCTAATGTCGGGATAAATATCAGCGAGCTCTTTCCTCCTTCTTCTTCCACCGGATGGCTGGCTTGGACACGCGTAAACTTTGCTCCCAGGCTAATCCTCTTAAACAATTACAAACCAGCCGATCGGTCTGGTACCTATCTCGTCGTGGCGCCACGCTGCGTTTTGACGTGGGATGAGGCACCTGCATTGTCATGCTAAGCCGCCAGTCGCCTTGCTGCAGTTCCCTTTTATCTGCGACCAAAAACATTCCGTCCTCTTCCTTCTCCTACCTCCGCTCTGTCCCGTCGAAAACTTTCAGAGGAGACACCGAACTTGCTACTTTCGGGTCTGAATTGGTTCTTATCTGCGGCGATGGTTCGTGTGACCAAAGTTTTCCCGATAAAACTGAAATTTCTGTGAAAAACTCGACAGCCTATTTCCTCCTTCTCTCAGGAAGAATCGTTGTTAGGTGAATTTCGAATTTATTTCAGCGAGAATTGCAGCAGTAATGTACCTACACACGTGGTATTGCTTTAATCGCGGTGAATGTATGTAAATTTACCTAAAGAATTTCTCTAAGAGACATTCAACTTGCTACTTTCGGGTCTGAATTGTTTCTTATCTTCGAGATAGTTCGTGTGACCAAAGTTTTCCCGATAAAACTGAAATTTCTGTGAAAAACTCGACAGCCTATTTCCTCCTTTTTTTCAGGAAGAGTCGTTCTTAGATGAATTTGGAGGTTGTTCGTTGGTCTCTGTTTTTATCAATATTCTTCAAACGTTCGCCAAGACGTTTCTATTCATTTCCTTGAGAATTACACACGTAAACCGCGGTACATGTGTTTAAATCTAAAGAAACTGCCTCTAACCTGCAGAAACTCGTAAGAAGACGTTTCATTTCTCGCGTCACGTTTCGAGAACCGCCTTTAAACGTCGATCCTCTTGTCAGTCAAACATCCAGTCACAACAATCCGGCGGGTGGTTGCCGATGGACAGACAGCTGTCTATTCAGACGAGAAGAACGCTGCTATTCTACCAGGAGTTTGTCTTCATAAAGGCGAGATAGCCGGCTATTATTCGGTGGATCGTCTCTATTCTAACCGGGCATGAACGCAGAAGCGAGGAAGCCGCGTGAAATAAAAGGAGGAAAACGGTGGTGTCCCGATGGGCGGAATTTTCGACGAGAAGGTGGCTCCCTTGAGGAGACCTCGCGCCTCTTCCTGTCTCTAACCTGCTCCGCCCGGAGATTCGAACCAAGTTTCGCTCCGGACCCGCTATTTGCTTCGTATTTCACGCACGAATTTCGTCGACCTCCCTCTTGCACGTGGTTTACGGATCTGTTAAGTCAATTCTCATTTTCTGGTGTGTATAGGTGATTAACTCGGTGGTGTTTCCATTGATAGGCTAAGAATGGAAGATAATTCAATATTCAGTTTCACGGATTCCTCTACAAATGGTTACAAGTATTTTTCTCATACAGTGGAGCCCCGGACTTACGTACTAATTGATTCCAAAGTGGGCGACGTAAGTCTTCTAAGAATTCTTTGCTCAAGTAACTTCCAGACTGATTCAGTAAGAACTGAACATGTGGAGCGTGAAATATCGGTTAAAAACAATTGACTATCGAATTGTGCAGAAACGACGTGAATCGGGAGGACGTAACTCGGGGCCCCGTTCTACATGAAAAATGTAGATTCATCTGTGAAAGTTACGTGTATCATTTTTTTTTTAATACAGTCTACACACTCCGCGACACAGACTTGAATTAAATACACTTACAAAAGAGTGTAACGCAACGTGAAGAAAGAAAGCGAAAGAGTAGTCGAAGAAGGATATAGAATGAAAGAAACGCAGGAATACGAATTGATCGTGCATTCGACCAAGTATACCGTAAATACACTCGATTACGCTGATATTCGTTGGCGGAGGGCCGGCAGCAATCGAGCAACTCTCATACCGAATGATCGATGACTCCATTGTGCGGGCTTTCCCATGTCCCTGCTACGATTCCGTGCGAGCGGCATACAAAAAGCCGGTCGCCATTTCGAAAATGGCCGGAATTATGGAAAATTCGGGCCGGAAGATCGATCGGCCTATGCCATTCGCGCCCTGTGATTTCACCCCGCTTGCAATCCGATAGT